CGACGAATAAAATACTCACCAACATCCTTTTATTCATAAGTAATACCAATTCGCCCGTACGGATTCCACAAAATGCTATGTCGATTCATAGCTGCCGTAACCGGGAAGTCCTGACGCCGGAAGGCCGACCGCTGTCATCTGCATGGCAGGTGCCTGCATGGCAGTGGAGGATGCGTCGGGCTATATCGCATTTAGCTAACAATTCACGATAGTTAGATACCGTCCTCCATGGCGCAGTTGCATAAGCTGCGGGCTAGTTGGCAAGAGCCACTAGCAGTCATGGATTCGATCCTCCGCAGAGGACCGAAGGATGCGCACCACTGATGAGCCCCAATAGGGCGAAACGGCCGTCTGGTGCTTTTCCGGACAGCTGGTCGACATATCTGAATTGTCGGCTGATTGCGACGAACAAAATACTCACCAAAATCCTTCCATTCATAAGTAATACCAATTCGCCCGTACGGATTCCACAAAATGCTATGTCGATTCATAGCTGCCGTAACCGGGAAGTCCTGACGCCGGAAGGCCGACCGCTGTCATCTGCATGGCAGGTGCCTGCATGGCAGTGGAGGATGCGTCCGGCTATATCGCATTTAGCTAACAATTCACGATAGTTAGATACCGTCCTCCATGGCGCAGTTGCATAAGCTGCGGGCTAGTTGGCAAGAGCCACTAGCAGTCATGGATTCGATCCTCCGCAGAGGACCGAAGGATGCGCACCACTGATGAGCCCCAATAGGGCGAAACGGCCGTCTGGTGCTTTTCCGGACAGCTGGTCGACATATCTGAATTGTCGGCTGATTGCGACGAACAAAATACTCACCAAAATCCTTCCATTCATAAGTAATACCAATTCGCCCGTACGGATTCCACAAAATGCTATGTCGATTCATAGCTGCCGTAACCGGGAAGTCCTGACGCCGGAAGGCCGACCGCTGTCATCTGCATGGCAGGTGCCTGCATGGCAGTGGAGGATGCGTCGGGCTATATCGCATTTAGCTAACAATTCACGATAGTTAGATACCGTCCTCCATGGCGCAGTTGCATAAGCTGCGGGCTAGTTGGCAAGAGCCACTAGCAGTCATGGATTCCATCCTCCGCAGAGGACCGAAGGATGCGCACCACTGATGAGCCCCAATAGGGCGAAACGGCCGTCTGGTGCTTTTCCGGACAGCTGGTCGACATATCTGAATTGTCGGCTGATTGCGACGAACAAAATACTCACCAAAATCCTTCCATTCATAAGTAAGTATTGGGGATGTCGTTGCTCATTCAATTGTGGGTTGTGACTCACAGTGGTCCGTTTCGCAATATGTCTAAATCAACTTGCACTTATACTCCGGTAACTTCGTCCTCTCTCTGCCATTTGTGGCGTTAATTTGAACTTCAGTAGGTTTAACTCGAAGGAGAACTTCTTACGCCACTGCGCAACGTCCCACTTGCGTCCTTCGCCATGTGGTTGGACTGGGGTGCGACTTTCATCACTTTCAGAGAGCACCCTGGGAACTTTGCTGATGAGGATATACTTGTAAGCACGTTGTTGATTGCGAGTGCCTGGCGAATGTATCGTCATTCCTCACAATCGTGGGTATGAGTTTCACGTTTCGATGTTTGAAACTTCGGGACTCCATGAATGAAAGCCGATACGTTCCGTTGGTGGTAGTCATCGGAGCTCTCTTTTCCTTATTGGCACATGCTTTAAGGGAGGTTGGGTAAAATTCGAACGCCATGTGAATCAGTTCGAAGGCGAGTGACTGACAAAAGAACCACCTCAACATAGGTACGGACTGTGTGCCAGCCGTAGCAGAAATCGTTCCCCACCATGAGCTTAAGTGCCCTACGGTGCGCAAATTGCCAGCCGGTTTGGTATTAACTTTTATTAGTATACATTTGCAGCGCACTGTTTTTGGACGTCTACGAGCACGATTTTTATAGAGTTCGCATTAGAGTTAGGAACACTGGAACATACAATCGTCAGCGACTCTCGTGCTCGACTGGAAGTAGCAGGCTGGAGAGAGAATGCGATCTGTTCCCAGTGGAGTGAATGGCACACGTGCGACAATTCTGGCGCTCTGCCTGATCGCGTCATGTGTAGCCAACAAATTTGCTCCCGATTCTGGGGCAGAAGCAGCAGCAACTGGCGCGTATGAAGCCACGCAGTTACTGGTAGGTGTGTTAGCGTGTGATTCTATAGCTTGCTCCACTGCGTTTTACTCCCGCGGTATCGCTTGGATCAGGATGGGTGTCGCCGCCGTAAGTGGAATTTGGTTGTTTTGCTAGTTTCCGATTGTTGTTTCTGTGTATCCTGTTTACGGTTTTACGCATGTCGCTGGATCGGCCACTATGTTCAGCTAGGAGCCTTGGGATCACAGCCAGAGTGCGGTTGAACCCAAAGGGGATTATCTACGAAGTTTAGGTTCCTCGACCATCGCCATTAAGTTATAGCATTTCTGTGTCAAAATAGTCATGCATCAAATAAGTACGACAGGCGTAAAATCAATGCAGAATCCAATGGTGCTTTCTTTTGGTTAACATTTTCCTTCCTCTTGCAGTTAAACAAAGTGGTGATCGTTGCATCCAGAACACAAAATACCAGTTCGAGCCGTTTTTCCACAGCCGAAAATGCTGCACAATTGTGGCTCGCTGAAATTGATTCTGTGTTGAATTTCGTTTTGTGTCACTTTCCTAGTTCTCTCTAGGCTCAGAGATCTAGTATGGCATTAGTCTACACACGCGTACACTCAAGCGCTCAGGCGACTGGTTCTGTGCTCTTGGTAGGCTGGCTGACGTTAAGCATGAGGCGCGCTTGTCACACAAAGCGGGACTAGACGATGCGTCCATTTCCGATCGCTAGCGATTTCGACAGACAGCCAAAAACTGGTTGTTTTTGCAGGTTTGAATAGTTGGACTATCGGTGGTTGATTGGCGGCTGCGAAACGAGGTGCAGTGAATATCTACAATGTTAAATATGCGCAAATTTATGCTTGGAGCAAACGATTTCGAGTAAGAGTAAAATTTCCATCGGAGCTCGCAAAATGAAGTAGTTACGTGCTTAAATTTCAGTGAAACTCGTCCGAATTGCCAAAGGGAATAAAATGTTGAATCGTCAACAATATTCCCGCCATAAAATATCCACTTTGTAGAGCTGGTCAATCCGAGAGGAGTGAGTGTAAGCTCGACGTTGAGCAGCAAGCTAAGGAGTAATCATCCTGAGCTCCGAAAAGCTTTGACTGCACGATAAAATGGCATATTCAATATTTGATGTTTCATAGCCGCAGAGATTGACATGCCTGGCCAAGCCATAAAAATTAACTTGGCGTTCCAGGTGGGCAGCAAGACCGTTCTAACGAAAACAGATTACAGCAATACGTGTGTGCTAGTTGCTGTAAAGGATAAAGAAGAACTCCGTTCATGAATAGCAGGTTCCTGATTGCAGTCCGATCTTCATTCTAAACTAAGATACTTTATAGCACGATTGCAAACCAGTATTTCATCGAAAGGGACCAGTTCGTCAGAGCTTGTGAGTAAATTCTGCACTAATGCTCGTGTCCGGACTCTGTGTTGGTGGCGTGTGTAAGCGTCAAAACGCTTAGGAACATGAAACAGTGCGCGCAGTTTCCGGCTGTCCGAATTCAACAAGGGCCGGAACAGATCACAGATCACCGGAAACAAATGCACGAGCCCGAACTGACCCGCAATCCTCGGAATAAGTCAGACTTCAAGTCCGGATTGACTACGGTGCTAGTAAGGTAGAATAAATACCAAAAGATGACCAACTTCAAACAGTGTCTTCAAGCACAAAAAATGAAGGCAATATGCTGGGCGAAACCGCAAGGGACCGTTTCAAAGCAAGACAAGACACAAACCGAGTGACTAAACGCGAACCACGCAGGTTCTACATCGCCTGGTCAGCGGTGAAACAAAAAGCAGCAATGATTGGACGGCACAAAGCGCACCAATAGCGCAGCTGAGACGATCGATTGAATGTGACACGACAGACAAACCGAGACAGACTGAATGGCCGTCCGGCAGGGGTAGACCGATGAGACCCTCGCCGTGTCTGCAGCAGATTTGGATGCGGTAACCAACAGCGGATAAGACAGTGTTGGCGTAGCTAGCTTGAGAAAGGCTTGAGCATAGGCAGAATGAGTAAACTCGGGTGGTTAATCAATGTTCATAATGTATGTGGGTGTCAAAGCAACTGTGGTCCTAACATGCAAAGTGAAATAAGGAATCAAAAGATAATGACTGATTGTGTTGAGGGGAATTAATAGTAAAGAATTCCCTAGATAGGTCGAGCAAATTGATTTGTCCGCCATTGTGTCTTCTTTTCTCATCCAGCGTCGTTTCTAGGTGGTATGTTCTGTGGTTACCTCAGAAATTGGCGCCCATCTTTTACTGTTGGCATTATGGCACACGTTCTCACTTTGTAGCAGAAGGGCATCTGCCTGACAGTTCATACTGCTTTTATGCAGAATTTCACAGTTTTAGAGGAGATTACATTTGGTGATGTTAGCAAGAAGAAATTAGGAGTTATACCAAAAGGAACCTCTGTGTCACACTTGAGAATAAAATTTGGAAAACCAAATAAAGAGCCCAGTCATCATTTCCATTTCCTTAATGGGTCTTTAACGCACAGGTGGTTGAGTGCAGAAGGTTGTGAGTTGTTCAGGTAAGCAGTGCTACTGATACAGCTGAACTCGGTGAACTTAAGGGGAAAGAAGAAAAAACCTTTCAGTGCCTCCGAAACTTCTTTTGTTATAAAAACAGGCTTGAGCAAGCGGAGTTAGTTGAATGCGTGCTTGTTGGTCATTATCCTCAAGCGAGAACACATTATTGCCAATGTTTGCTGCCTTTTATCTAAATGGTGTGGCAGTTCACAAGTGTTGCATTAACATCGTGGAAGTCAAGGTATCTACCTTTAAACTACATGTACGCTTCAGAATCTGTTGGAGTTTAACAGGTATCGTTACCTAATGTATGTTTATTTCTGTTTTCAGACTAAAGCAACTTGTTCAGTGAAAAGCACCCGTTATACCGATGGCAGACAAGAAGTCGTATTGCAGTGCTGACGGAAAACATAACCAAAGCAAATAAAGTCTGATCCCCACGATTTGGTCACTATTTCTATGGCGAATATGAGGCACTGGTTTAGACCTGGTCCCCTTATTTCCCCTTTCTGTAAAGCAGTATGTTAGTTGATCGCACAGTCATGGATCGAATACTGATCAACACCCTACCGGAGTCTTTATTTAGTTTGAATGAAAGCGTAAGCCATGTTTCCTCACATAAACAGTTTTGCTATGCTGAGCCCACGTCACATTGTACACCCTATAAGCAACGAAATCACTCAGAAAGCCTTGAGCAACTCCTCGCCCCCAGTGTCAGTGTACAAAACAATACCGGGTCACGAACCGTTGTCGATTACAAAGTAAATTACAAAATGACTAGGTACGAATCGCGGAAGCGTGGTCTTCCAGAACTATGATACATTTATCTTTATAAGGTAAAATCTAGAAAAAGTTAACAACTTCTGTAAGTTGACTGTTTTACATTTCACTGTAGTGCAGTATAGTGTTTTTCTAGGCATGTGGAGAACTATCTGCTTTGGATGCCGATGCGAGGAATTTTGAATTGATTATGTCAAATCTCCCTTACTCCTCGGTTCATATCTATCGGTATAACACTTGGCCAATGGTAGTACAACTTGGAGAGTGCCACAACAAATGAACAAATACAATAATATATGCGAGAGCGACCAAGAAAAAACAGCGACTGTGAACTTGCAGTCACGTAAGTAGATTCCCATATGTCCACCATTAATGTGGGACCTTGCCATGCCAACTATAGTTTAGGGTCAGGAGTGCACGTTATCCTTGCGCATCCAGCCCGGGATTCGAGGGCGTTTGACGACGAGCAAATTCGTTGCTAGCTCCTTTACTCTTTGGGTCCCAGTCACTCGTTGTCCAACATGCTTTTCAATAGTTCAACAGTGGATGATGCGATAAAAAGTATAACCTTACAAGACCCACAGGATAGATATGCAAAAGCAAATTCAAATCAAAAGGTTCCAACTTGGAACGGGAAGTATTAGTGGTTAAATTACTTTATCACTTTAGCAAACGGTTGTGTAGCGTATATCATTAAGATGAAAGTCTGTCGAATGTTGTCATGTCTGCTGTGTTCACCACATATCTTGGTAATGCATTCCAGTGAGCGCACATTTTAAGTGAGCAAAAAGATTTTCTACAATTCATACGGGAGTGTTGCCTCATTAGTTTCGGGTGGTTGCCTCGGCTTTGTTTTAAGGGGCTAGGGTCAACAGCAATGTACAAGGACGCTTGCTTTCAGTTAGTATCCGGTATGTGAGATTAAGATCTCCACGAAGCCATCGGTATTCTGATGAGAACACACCGAGTACACGAAGACGCAGTTCTTAACTTAGTCCCGATAGTTCACGTGTTGTCTTTGGGGCTTATCTTTGTGGCTGTTCCAATTAGCGAATGTCTCGTTTTAAACATGGACGCCAGGCCTGAATTGCATGTTCAATGTGAGGACAAATATAGTTAATAAGCATTGGTACTAGTCATCGCTCAATGGGGCCTAGAGCTCGCCTCCAAAGTCTCAAGTTCAAGTTCGCCACACTTGCTGCTTCCGAACATTGGAGCGAATTGCCAAGCCTCTCTTGTACGATTATACCTAAGCCGCCATCACTAGTCATGTGTTGCAGGACATGTTGCCCCAAAAGGTTTATGTTAATGAAGCTGCTACGCACCGTCAGCTGGTGGCACTTTGCAGGGCTCAGTGGGAGCTGGTTCCTTTCTGCCCATTCGTTAATCCTAGTCAGATCTTTCTGGAGGTAGACACGGTCGGATACTGAGCGATTTGCTCTCCGTACTTTAGCATCGGCTGCAAATATTTGCATGGGAGGTAGAATGTCTGCTGGTAGGTCATTAATGTACACTAAAAACAGTAGCGGGCCAAAGAAGGATCCTTGCGGTACACCACTGAAGACGCACAGGCGTGCAGAGGGAGTGTCGGCTACTCTTACCTTCATTGCTCTGTCGTGTAAGCAGTCTTCTTACCAGGTGAGCAGGGAACCGTTAATAACGTAGGCAGCAAGATTTGGAGAAGAAAAAAGTGATTGACTCTGTTGAATGCTTTAGATAAATCCAAGTAAAATACATCTATAGGGACTGCTTCACCAGTCACCACGATCCATGAGTCTCGAGTAAGCAGCAAATTGGTGAGACAAGATCATTTGCATCTGAAACATTGTTAGGGCATTAGATAGTATTTGTAAACTTTCAAAGTATCACGTCAGTTCATTTGAGATTTCCGATTTCATCACTTTTGATAAAACATGAAGGAGAGTAATAGATCGTAGTTGGCCGGATCCGATCGCCTTCCTTCTTTGTATATTGAAGTGATTATTCCATTGTTCCACTCAGATGGGAGTGTATGGGAGTTAAGCATACACTGGAAAATGGTTGCAAGTGGTGCTGCTATGATAGGAGCTAAGGTATTCAGTACTTTTGGCCAGATCATGTCGATTCCAGGGGCACTGTACTCCCAGAGATACTGTAATTTGCTTGGAACAGCTGCTGGATTACAGGTGACGCTGGATAAGTCGACAACATTAGTTGGGAGTTGATAGGGCGTAGGTGCCATCGTATTTGTAGCTACCGAGCCAAACTGCAGGAGTAGACCGCTCGCGACATTCACAGCAGTAGTCGTGAAGCCACTGGCCGTCTTGAGTGGTAGTATTCCAGGTTGAACCTTAATTTTGTCATTCACACAGCTGTATAGCAGTTGGGTGTTACTCGTAAATTGCAGCATCATGGTCTCCTGCCATTCGTACTTGTCGACTCTAATGAGCGACATACAGTAGTTTCTGATCGCTTCGTAATTCTGCCACGTGATATTACATGGGCTTAGCGAATGTTGCCTCCAAATCTCATCTCTTCTGTTGATCCATTTACGTGTTCTGCTCCGGATCCACGTATTGGTCCGGCGCGATGTTGGTAATGGTACAATCTTCGATTCTGATTGTGTGACCCAGTTGATTTTATCCTTCAGTTCATTCCACGTGCCATTCGCTGAACTGTGCGTCTGTATGTCCCAGTCAACGGCTGCTGCTAAATTGTGCAGCTAAAAATGGTCCGTACTAGTTCATTGAGTCACTGTTTATCAACAATACCGGCATAACACACATAACCAAAGGTTAGGACTGAATGGTCGCTACGGTCCAGTGAAGAATCGTATGCTACTGACTCAACCATCATCTCTTCGTTAGTCAGAATTAAGTCCAGGAGTGTTGGCTTGTTTGAACCGCGGTGTCTGGTTGGTCGATGCACATGGTTATACAAAAGTGCCATATCCATGAATTCAAGGAGCTTCGATTTAAGTAGTGAGGCACTAGGGGACGTTGATGCTATTGAAGGAACATTAAAGTCGCCCATTATAAGATAGTGAGAGTACTTTTGTGAAACAGCAGAGCCGGGGGCGTTTAACAGGATGTTATCGTTGTTTGCTAATGAGTTCGGCGGCCTATAGATAACTGCTAATAGGCAAGCATCACGCATCTTCTGTGAACAAATATCTCGACCTGATAGGTGCAGTTTACAAAATAGTGCGTCTGGAATAACAAGAAACTTTTCCGTAAACGCCTCACGTTTCAAATAATCTCGATGGTGGAGGGCAACACCGCCACCGCGAGATGGACGATCATTTCGTATGACTGACACCTCATTGAGTTCATTCTCCGGAGCAAGTATGCCGTTCAAGAACCAAGTTTTAGTAACTGATATGAGGTCCCAAGTTGCTGTTTCATTTCGAAGGCGCAGTTCCGAGAGCTTAGAATACATCTGAGTGTTGGTCTAGCAGCATTGTATTTGTTGACGCATCAGGAGCTCGGTTGGTTGTGAGTGACTAACACAAATAGTGCCGGTCTGCTGAAATTTTTTGGACTGATTGTTTTCATGGTTGGCTGATCTGCGATAGGTGAGACCGAGACTGGTTCATCCGTATCTGAGACCTGTACTGATTGAAGGAATGGTCTTAACCGTATTTCTGATGGCTCAAGTTTCCTGTTGTCATGCCATGCTTGGATGATCACTGATACCTTCTCGGTCGCAGCCAAGGGAACTTTCAAAATTCGTGGCCCGCTGCCTTGGTAGTTTGTGGAAACAATTAGACAGGGGACGTCAAATTCACGACATTCTGCATGTCGTAGAATTCTGCGACGTACCTCCATTCTTCGTGGTCGTGCCTCTGTCGTTCACTGCTATCGTCATGTTTCAATTCTGGCACACCATGAACCAGTACCACTTTCTTCATCTCATTTTGACGTGATGAAGTAGGGTTGGATTTCCGCTTTTGTGTTTCTGCTCATGGCCTGTCAGGAACAATACGGGCACTTATAGAAGAGTTTACTAGAATGTGGCTTGCTAAGAGAACATCTTCCAGGTTGCACGTGTTGCCAAACGTTACTCGCAGTAACCGTGGTTCCCCTGCGTGTGGAGATGATGGATTCCGTGAAAGGCGTGCACGACTGGTTGGGAGAAGTTTCAGTCCGAGTGCGCAGGTTATTTCAGCCAAAGGTTTTGCTCCTCGACTTGTCTACCTTTCAGCGATTCGCTAGTGGGTTCTGGGACGTTTGAAAATATCATCTTACTCGCCTTTTGGTTGCGTAGTAATTGTTTGATCGGCAGTTCCTTGTCAGTGTAGTTTTGTCTAGTGAGGGTGTCTGGCTTGTCTTCTGTGGACGATAGACCAAGTTTACAGCAAACTGGTTTTACGTGCAACGCCGTTAGTTTCACTACCTGTAGGGGTCAATTGTTGTTGCCCAGCTACTGACGTAGGTGCTCGTGCAATTGGTGCTTCAAGCTGCATGCTTTGGAACATTACGTGAGACTTGGAAGACCGTTCACCCGGCGTGTTTTTACTGCTGTTTTGCACTAACGGTGTTTGCCTTCTGCTGAACTGGGTAGCATTGTTGCTAGAGAGCTTTTGCCTTTTAACAGGTCGGGGATTCGGGCTACGTAATCTATTAATTTGCAACTGGATTTCTGAGATTTTCCCTCCCAATAACTTGATCAGTTCCTTTTGGTCTGCCGACGTAACAGTCAACCATTCACACCTTATCGTAAGCTTTTGAACAATTAATTATCGGACTATCTGAACCCAAGTCACAGAACCACAACCTATCTGTCGATGCGCTGTTAGCTCCGTTAAGTGTAATGTTCACATTTGTCGCGTCATGAGTTGGCACAGAAGGAACACGTGATT